AGTAACAGGAGGAAGAGCCACTATCAAGATAACTGCGAGATAAAAGAAATCTGAGTCCAGGGCAGAAATGTAATTTGAGAAAGCATCTCAGACAAGACCCTCCCCTTGTTCTCACAAAGATAAAGGGAGGGAGGGGGAGGCGCATTCAGACTTGCAATATTCTGTTACTATAGCTTTACAATAAGAGTGGTACTGGCCTACATGTTATTGATTTCCTAGTCTGGTCTATCTTGAGGGGCTGACACCTACTAACTGATACAACGTTAAGCACAGTGGCCTTAATTCCCCTCCTGAACATTCCTGCTACCATATAAAGCTTTATCTCTGGCCTCAGAATTCAGATGAGAAATGAAGCTAAATAATAAAAGATTCATAGGGAAAGAATAGACAAAGGAAGTGTTATCAATCCATTTATCGCTTATACTCCCCTGCAAATTTCATTGATCCCTTTACTGATACACTGAAGCAAGCATGAAGTTACAGAGTCTTTCATCTCATAATCTGCAGTCCAGTACTTAGTTGTATGGGCTGCATTGGATCCTGTTGTGAGCTGCCCATGAGAATCAGGTGGCATACAAGTTTAAATTATTATTGTTGGTCCCATAGTCAGCCAGATGTTTAGACTGGATTTGGCATTTTTATCTACCTATCGACTCCTTCCCAAGGACCTGGGATAGACGGATGTTGTTTGATGGTGTTAGAGCTATCATTTGTATTTTCTGATTTTCTCCAGTTCTTTCTCTTCTATTCAGTTGTCTCCAGGTATTGCAATGTCCACTATCCAGATTTATTTTTTTTTTTGTCTGTCTTATCAACAATTGTTAAATCTGGGGTGTTATGTGGCAGGTGCTTGTCTGTTTGAATTCTAAAGTCCCAGAACACTTTAGCGTCTTCATTTTCTATTACTTTGCCTGTTTTGTGGTCCCATCAGTTCTTGCTTGTAGGTAAATGGTATTTCTTAAGATATTCCAATGCACCATATTGCTACTTTGTCATGCCGTTGTCTGTAGTCAGACTGTGAGATCTTGCAGCAGCTAACTAGGTGGTCCATTGTTTCTTCAGCTTCTCTGCAGAGGCCGCATTTGCTGCCTGTTGCTGTCTTCTTGATTCTGGCTTTATATGCATTTGTTCTTAAGGCTTGGTCTTGTGTAGCCAGAATTAGCCTCTCTGTCTCTTTCTGCGACTTTCCTGCTCCTAGCCATTGCCAGGTCTTGTTGTTATCTGCTTTGCCTGCTAGTGGTGTGTGTGTGTGTGTACTGGCCATATCTTGGCTGTATATTCAGATAGTGTTGAGCAGTGATTACATTTCAGATGGTGTTTTTCCATACAGCTTCAGATTGTCCATGTAAAGGAGGTGAGATAACCTGGCAGATATTTTTGATGTTTGATAGCCATGGCCCATGTTGTCACCAGTGTTGTTGACAGGTCCTCCTTTCAATTTTGTTTCTGATTTTTTCATAACTATTTAGACAGCCAAGGGAAAACTTTTAGCTTGGTAATACAAACTGGATTGTTGAAAAGATCAACGTATTGATTTATCTTATTATCTTGAATATACTATGCTCCCTGGCCATTGCCATTTTAAGACTGGCTGCTGGGTATATTTTTCTGCATAGAAAGATAAAAGAGCTCCTTACTGCTGGGAACATATTCTGGGAAGATCACATACAGTATATGGACTGAGTATAGCTTAAATCATCAGCCAGCTAACTGCAGTGGGTAAATCCCTGTTTGTTACTCTAGAGCTCTCTTCTTTACTCCATCGTTAAATACGTCAGGTTTAATGATTGTGGGAATAGTGGGGGTCTTTAAACAATGAAGTAACTTAGGGTCTATGCTTTTCAATATTAATTTAAATTATTTTAGTATAAAAGTGTTTGATTCTGCTCTATTCATTATTACAATGATTTCCAAAGAAGCACCTATTCTTTTATTGCAGGCAAAGAAATGTACCCTTGAATTCCAAAAACTGGAATGATTGTTCCACTGTTGTTTCTCCCTTACAGTCCCAGCCTGCTTTGCCTGCTTCTTTGTGTACTGGCCATGTAATACTTTGCCTTGCCATGCCTCTTTTCTATTCATTTGGTCTTTCATTTGGTCTTTCA